TAAATCAAGTTGAGAATTTTTTATTTTTTAAAAAGAAAAAATTGACTTTTTTAGCATTTTTGTCAAAACAAAATATTTTCAGTTTTAATAAATAAGATTATTCTACTGTATATAGGGTGCGCCAGAACTCGCGCCCCAGAGAAAAATTTTAAGTAAGATAATTTTGGCATTAATTTTTTGACATTTGACATTTTTTATGTCTAATGATACTGCTGATCTTGTATATGTTTTTTTTATAATTATTTAGTAAAAGTACAAAAATTTTGCCAATAAAAGTCACAAATAACATTGAACAGAGTTACAATTTAGAATAAATAGACTGTAGAAAAAAAACTCTGTGTATTTGTCCACTATTATTTATTTTAAACGATTAAGATTAATATAGGTGTACATTTTAAACAAATATTTATACGAAAATCAGTCTCCAGGACTATGTAAATAATTAACTGGATAGATGCAGGTAAAATTTTATTTTACAATTTGAGAAGAAAATAAAATGTTTAGATTTCACATAACATATGTTTACTCATGGTGTCGGTTTAACCACTTTGAAGAAAATTATCTGAAACAGACTTGTGACACCTTGTGCTTCCTTTTGCTACAACAGTTTATCACATATTTACATCAAAATCTCCACTACAGAAATAATTAAGATTCAAAAATAGAAACACGGCAATTTTCTCACACTTGTCTCAAAATATATCGAAACATTTGAATTAACTTATGCCCAGTCTGCAGTTTCGTGGTAACAGTTTTAAAAGTGTTTGAAAGTTCCGCCGCAAACAAAAAGATTTTAAAGGCGGTTAATTAAGGTACAGATGTTAATGAGGCTTAACCGACGGTACCTTTTATCTTTTCTAAAGTGTATTAACAGATTTTATGTAATTGCAAACATGATGTGGTTTTGTTCGTTTGAAAATAGATTTGTTTTAATTTGTGAGAGATATTTCAGTTTTGTCACTTTAACCACTGAAAATTATTATCTCCCTCCACTTTGAGTGTTTTTATTTTTTTTTCTCACAGTTTAGCTTACCTTTACACTAATTTGGGTTTAAATTGTGAAGAATCCAGATTGAGAAATATTTACCTTCCAACAAATTCGTCTTTTTCGACTGCTTAATATGGCGAAGAACGTTGAAAAAGTTGCAACAAATGGAATATCCACCTCCATGTGAAGGTGTGAATTAGCATTCACACTCGGCAAAGTACAGTCGTAAAATTTAATGAAATTAAAGTTAAGTGGATGTATAGCGCAAACGTTTAACCACATAAATTAACAGTAACTGTGTTTTAATTAGTGGTTACTTACGTGATTCAAAAAGCAAACACGTTTTTGTTTCAAAAATTATTTGTAACAATTTAACTCCAATGTGGTAAAATTTCTTATTTGAAAACCTAATTGGATGAGAGTAAGTCTTAATCTTGGGCAATTATTTTTTCCAACACAAAACATCTAATAGGTTTTATCAATTTTTTTACAATTGTGCTATTATGAGCAAAGGGTAGCGTAAAAACTGTTTTATAAACTGAAAATACCGAAATAAAATTAAAAAATCCAGTTCTTGACATAAAAATGTCTCTTGAACTCGAAGTTACCCCAAAAAATAATGTAATCTTAGATTTTGTGTCCGGTACAGACACTAATTGCTGCAATTAAGAAATTCCCAAAAATATTCTCAATTCCTCTGAATTCCAACCACTCATGTAAATGTGTTTGATTTGGAATTAGTTGTACAAATTTTTGGAATTTAATCGGAAATTGCTTGGAATTATTTGGAATTAATTGTGAATTACTAGAATTTTTATTTTTTTTTTTATTACGAGTATAATTATATATTTTTTTCTTATTATGTTTATTTTTAATTATTTTGGGGTTGGGTTGAGTAGTTAATTACGATATTTTTTCTATTGTTTCATCTTTATTTATTATTATTTTTTATTATATTGGGGTTGAGTTAAATAGCCTTCGGCTAGACTTCGCCCCACAGAGTTTTTATTTCTTATTTTATTTATTATTTTTTTTTTTTTCAATAAAGGCCTATTATTATTTTTTCCTAGAATTGCTGGAATTATTTTGGAATTACTGGAATTTTTATGAAATTACTGGAATTTATTATTTTACATTGTGATTATATTTTTTTTTCCTCTTATTATATATTTTTTACATTATTTTGGGGTTTGGTTGAGTAGTTTATTATGATATTTTGTTGTTGTTTGATTTTATATTTTTTATTATTATTATATTTTTTTCTCTTATTTTTTCATTATTTTGGGGTTGAGTTGAGTAGCCTTCGGATATACTTCGCCCCCCCAGAATTCGTATTTTTTATTTTATTTGTTTACTTATTTATTTTTTAATTTATTTCCAAAAAAGGCCTATTATTATTATTATTATTTTGCTGGATTTTCGGAATTATTGGAATTCTTTTTGAAATTACTGAACTGAAATTCTTTTTAGAATTTAATCAGAAATGGCTTGGAATTATTTGGCATTATTGAAATTATCTTTGGATTATTTGGAATTACTGGAATCACTTATGAATTACTGGATTTTTTTATTTTTTATTATTAATATTATATTTTTTTATCTTATTATATTTTTGTTATTATTTTGGGGTTGAGTTGAGTAGTTTATTATGATTTTTTTTTGTTGTTTAATTTTATATTTTTTATTATTATTATTATATTTTTTTTTCTCTTATTATATATTTTTTTATTATTTTGGGGTTGAGTTGAGTAGCCTTCGGCTAGACTTCGCCCCACAGAATTTGTATTTTTTATTTTGTTTATTTATTTATTTTTTTTCCAATAAAGGCCTATTATTATTATTATTTTTTTTCTGAAATTGCTGGAATTTTTTTGGAATCACTGGATTTTTTTTTTTTTGGAATTACTGAAATTCTTTTTGAAATAACTGAAATTCTTTTTGGAATTTAATCGGAAAATGCCTGGAATTATTTAGAATTATTGAATTACTTATGAATTAGTGGAATTTTTAAATTTTTATAACTATTATTAATATATACTTTTTCTCTTATTATATATTTTTTGAGTTTGTATTTTTCATTTTATTTATTTTTTTTCCAATAATCATTATTAATATTATTTTTCTGAAAATAATGGATTTTTTTGTAAATCACTGGAATTCTTTTTAAACTTGCTGATATTATCTTTGGATTGTTTGTAATTTTTATTATTGTTATAATTTTTTTTCTCTTATTATATTTTTTAAAATTATTTTGGGGTAGAATTGAGTAGTTTATTATATTTTCTTTGTTGTTTAATTTTATATATTTTTTCTCTTATTATAAATTTTTTTATTATTTTGGTATTGAGTTGAGTAGCCTTCGGCTAGACTTCGCCTAGACTTCGCCCCA